GAAGCCAGCAGGAAGTCCCCGCCCCCTCCTAGAGTCTGTAAAAGCCTCCATCTGCCATCCTGTCCCTATAGCTACCGCCTCCTCCTCTGGGGCCCAGATCAGCCCTGCAGCCTCGCCCCTCCCCCTCCCCCCACGGACTCGGGCGGTCTCTGCCTGCCCCGGCCCCATGGGCTTGGGTTCTAATTCCTTCCACCGACCCCCACTCTGCGTGGAGGCCCAGCCCCAGCTCCACTACCAGCTCTGCCATGTGTCCAGAAGCCCAGGAAGCAAGGGGTTCATCCACATACCACGGGGCTAGGGCCATGTGGTCCAGAACCCTCGGCGGGAGTCCAGGAGGAAGAAACGGGCAGCCCTGTCATCAGGGTGCGCTTTCGCAGGAGCTGTTGGGCGCTGATTTGGGTGTGAGTGTGGATGCCGCCCAGCCCCGAGGACGCTCAGGGTCCACTCGGGACACGGCGCCCCTCCTACCCATGGGGGCAGGGGCCCAGCTCCCTCATACCCCGAACGACCCCAGGATCGGGGGCCTCTCTGCCCACGGGCTTGGTAGAGAACTTCAGATTCCTCGGGGGCAGTCACCTCTCCAACATCTAGTTCCTGAAAGAGGACCGGTTCCTACAGAGCAGATACACTGACGCCCTGCGGAGTCCTGGTTCCCACAACCCTGCTGTCGGCCCAGCCCCACAACCCCTGCCCCAGAGAAGAGAGGCACATGGAGATAACGTACCCACCGCCCCAGAGGTCCATCCCTCACTCCCTGTTAAGTGCGGTTTTGTGGCTCTGGCAACAGCTAGCATCTGTCGTGCTTAAGGGACTCCAAAACCCAAGGCTGTGGACCACAGCCACGAAAACTGCCTTTCAGTAGGAAAAGGTGGTGGGCAGATGCGAGGTCTCGCACACATGCCCGGGGGAGAGGAACTAAACTGAGCTGACGAAGCCTCACTACCAGAGTCCAAAAAGTACAGCCGTACTAACCAACCACCCTCTGCGCCAAAGAGAGAAGTGTAAGCCAGGGCCCTCAGCTAGGGCTGATCCTGATCCCAGGAGACACATGGCAATGCCTGGGGGTGTCTGTGGCTGTCACACTGGGGGCTCGTGGCATCGAGGGGGCAGGGCCAGGGAGGCTGCTCCACACCCCACAGCACCCGGGACGGCCCCCCTGAGGGTGACCTGGCCCCAAGTGTCACAGCACCGCAGGGGGTGGGAGTGAGGGTGGGGAGGGGACCCTGGATTGGGCTGGGCCAGAGTCCGAGGGACCAGGGCCATTTGTACCCAGAGCTCTGCTGGATCCTTATCCATTTCACCCCCTTTGTAGGCGGGGATGGTCGCTGGCCACAAGGAAGGCAGGGCCATTCCCCCTGGCGCCGGGGCGGGGACACGGCGGGCGCCCCCCACTGCAGGGCGCGTCAGGCAGGGAGCAGGTGGCCACGAGGCTTTCCTCCCGTGCACAGAGGGCTGATGAGGGTTAGCGTCAGCGATGGGGAAGACCACCCTGGAGAAGAAACTCTACCTCAACTTGACAGTGAACACAGAGTGCAGACTGCAAGTGGGACGAGCGTGCTGTGCTCAGCGGAGAGGGTGGGAGAGGGCAGCCCTCTGCAGCCTCTGTCAGGTAGACGGGGACCAGAGGTGCTCCCTCCAAGGGGCTCTGGCAAGAGGCCACAAGCCTATTTTCTCCAGAGTTTTAGAGCCAGGAGGATGCTGGGCGCCCCTGTGGCCTGCTGGGCAGACCTGAGCCCGAGGGCTGGGCACCCTGCCCGCAGTGGGGAAGTCGGGTGGGCTCTGCAGGGGGCCGGCAGTGGCACATCGGCATTTGGCCTGGCCTGCCGGGCACCAAAGCCACCAGCGCCCTCACTGGACCCTCCGGAACCTCCAGAGACAGTGGCTGGGAGCCAACCTGCTGGAGGGAACAGCCCCTCTGTTGCCGGAGACTCTGTGGGCTGCAAAGAAAAGAGCAAAGGAGGTGACCTTCAGCCCTGACGGGCTGGAGCCAGAGCGCCTGCACCCTCGATTCTCTAGACCAGGGACTGCAAACCAAACGGCAAATATTTTCCACTTTGCAGGCCAGACGGTCCTGTTACAACTGCTCAATTCCACCACGGTAGGCAAGCAGCCCTGCAGGGCACGTCAATGAATGGGCGCATCTGTGCCAATAAAACTACTTATCAAAGTGAAATGTGAGTTTCATCTAGTTTTCAACTGTCACACACTCTTCCTTTGATTTTTTTCTCCCCCAGCTCCTTAAAAATCTAAAAATCATTCTTTTTGCAGACCATACAAAAATAGTCGACCTGCCAGGTTTGGCCTGTGGGCCCCCGTTTGCCGACCCTGCTCTAGAAGAAAGAACAGGAACACCTGAAATTCACACAGGCTGGCGAGCATGAGAGCTTAGCCTTTAATGCGTCAGCAGAGGGAGAATGACAGAAATGGACGGTGCGGGGAGTGAGGGGCTCGCTAGGTGCCTGAAGAGGTAACGAACCAACAAGTACAGAAGTCTCTAGAATCTGGGAAGTGGACGTTCTCCCCCTTGGCTGCATTCCGAGGAACGTGCTGGAAGGGGATGCAGACGGGACGGGGCACTCAGGCTGCAGGAGAGGCCCCTGCTCAGCGGGAAGGGGCCCTGGGTCCCCCCCGTGCCCCACCCCACCCCCCGCCCTTAAGTCCACAGGCCCAGCACCCCGGGAACCAAACAGTCCCCTGCCGCCAATGCCCTCAGCTTGTCACCTGCGAGGCCAGGCGCCCGGCGGCCTCTTCAGCCCAGACTCGTTACGGGGGCAGCGGAGCTCGGAGGTCTGGACCTGCTGTCCCGTTCCACCACCGAAAGGCCTGGAGGCTGACATCAGGTGGCAAACGGACAGGTGCCCCGTGGCCAGTGGCCACTCCTGGCAGAAGCTGCCGGGCACCCCAGGACCCGGGCCGGCTCAGAGCAACGCTTGTCACTTGTTCAGTAATTTCACGCTCCGCGGCCTGGCGATGTGAGCGTGGAGCCCCATCTAAGGCTGCGCTTCCCAAGTGCCACTTGTTTGTGAACACATGGCTGAACCCCAAATTGCGTTTAATATCCGGGCAATCCCCGCCGGCCCTGCAGCAGGGTCGGCTCCAGCAGCGCCTCCGGGACCAGCCCCGGAGCCAGGCTGATAACTCAATCACACAGAACTCCCTGCAAACATACCCCTGTGGATCTAAAGGGACAATCCTGACACCCCCGTCTCTCCTCTTGCAGCGAAGCCAGAGGCTCTGCCAAAGACAATCCCCCCCCAGTTTCCTGAATTAAGTATAAAAAGCCCAGCACTTTAAATCCCGGGGCGCCTCTCCAGTCTTCCTGGCTACAAAACCCATTTCCTTTTCTCAACTGCACGGACACAGCGAAGTTAGAGAAACAGATCATTAGAAAGACAGAGAAGAGCCAGCCCGTCTAGACCGCGCTGCCCAGCGGAGACGTGACGCAAAGCCACCTGTGAAGCTTAATTTTCTTCATCTTAATTTTTCACCCCATTCAAATGTGGAAAGAAGCAGGCGACATTTGCTTTAAGGATGGATCTTGTTTAACCCCACCTGTTCAGAAGCATCAGCCTGTAACCCCCCTGAACACCCTGGTGCGGGGTTTCCTGCTCCTTGCCACGTGCCCTGCCGTGGACTCGGGGTGTTGCACGCCACCGGCTCCCCTCCACTCCATCGGGCCACGTCTCCAGGCTGTGACGCCTGATCGTCACGGCCTAGACCCTCTTTTGCAAGGGTCCAAGGTCTGGGAAACACTGAAGGAATCAGGATCCGGGCTCCAAGTCCTCCGGGTCCACACTGCTCCCACTTCCGGGTCTGGGAGAAACCCACCATCTGTCCCAACCCTGGGTCCTAACTCATAACGGCTGAGAAATTCCGCGAAGGAACCCCAGGGCTCTGGCTTGGGAGGCTGGTAGGAAGCTCAGCAGGAGAGGCCTCCCCTGTCCCATGACCCAAGTACCAGAGTGGATGCTTGTGAAGAGCCGGGCCCCTTTTTGCAGTGGAGAGAAGGTTAAAGGGACTGAAACCTGAGAGCAGGGGCCGCTTGGTCTGAGCCCAGCTCAGAGCTGGGCAGAGCTCGCCGGCTTCCTCCACGGCACCCATGGTACCAGTCTTGGGTAGAAGGCCCCTGGTCCCGGCAGCCAAGGAAGGGCTGGGCCTGCTGCCTGCCCGACGGCCCTCCCAGCAGCTTCTCCCTCCCAGGGCCCTGCCCAGTGCTCAGCCGCTCCCTGGACTCGCCACTACGGGGCCTCGTGCCCCCAAAGCTGCCCGTCAAAACCACAGACAGGTGAGTGCAGGAGAAAAGGAATTTGAGAACAAGCGCTTGGCTCAGATGTCAAATCTGTTGGCCAATAATCGGCCCTCTGGGACCAGAACGGCAAATTACTGAGGAATATCAAAGGAGTCTTCCGGCCTTTCAGTGACCTCTGAATGTGGATGGCGAGGCAGCAGGAAGCCCTCAGGCTCGAGCGCAGGGTCTGCTCTGCCAGGGTTCTGCTGTCTCTGTCTCTGTCTCTGTCTCTGTCTCTCTCTCTCTCTCTCTCTCTC